ACCGCCGGGGCGGGCAGGGACACCGCCGGGGCGGGCAGGGACACCGCCGAGGCGGGCAGGGACACCGCCGGGGCGGGCAGGGACACCGCCGGGGCAGGGACACCGCCGGGGCGGGCAGGGACACCGCCGGGGCGGGCAGGGACACCGCCGAGGCGGGCCCTCAGCCGGCGGGCGGCACCGGCCGCGCCCCGCCGCCATTTCCCTGCCCGCCCGGGGCGCGGCCGGCCCGCTCCCCGCCCCGGCCCGCCCCGCCCCGCCGCCGGGAGATGGGCCCGCCCCGCGCACGGCACCGCCGCCAGAGCGGCTGCGCCCCTCCTCCTTCTCCTCCTCTTCCTCCTCCTCTCTGCCCCGCCGCCGGGATGCCGAAGCTTAGCAAGGAGGCCAAGCAGCGGCTACAGCAGCTCTTCAAGGGCGGCCAGTTCGCCATCCGCTGGGGCTTCATCCCCGTAGTGCTCTATCTCGGTCAGTGCCGGGCGGGGGACGCGCGGGGGCCCTCGGCGGCCGTTCCCGAGGCCGGGTGTGGGCGGCCGGCTCCGAGGGCCGCTCTCCGCCGCCCGGCCCGGCCGGAGCCGCCGGGAGCGGCGGGGCCGGGGAAGGGCCCGGGGCCGCCCCGCCGCGCATGTGCGGAGGAGCGGCGGGGCCGCCCTCGGCAGAACTGACGGGGAGGCTTTTTGTTACGCTTGGGTTTTTTTGTTTGTGCGTTTCTATGGTTTTTGCTTGTTTTTTTCCCCTTTCTTTGTGAAGAAGAAGTATGTGATCTTCCCACTCTACTCGGCCCTAGCGAGGCCACATCTGGAGTGCTGTGTCGGATTCTGGGCTCCTCAGTGCGGGAAAGATGAGCTGCTGGAGAAGGTCCAGCACAAGGCCACGGGAGGATTAAGGGATTGAAGCATCTCTCTTATGAGAAGAGATTGCACGTACTGGGCCAGTTTAGTCCAGAGAAGTGAAGACTGGGAGTGGGTCTCATTAAAGCATACCAATATCTTAAGGAGAAGTGCCAAGAGACTGAAGCCAGACTCTTTAGTGGTGCCCAGCTACAGAACGGGGAGCAATGGCCATAAACTGTAGAAGTAGTTTCACCTCATAAACAAGAAGTTTCACCTCAACGTGAGGAAGAAGTTCTTTGAGGGCGCCCAGGGAAGTAATGGAGTCTCCTTCTCTGAAGACATTCAAAACCCACCTGGACACATTCCTGTGTCACCTGCTCTAGGTGACCCTGCCTTAGCAGGGGTTGGACATGGGGATCTCCAGACGTCCCTTCCAACCCTAACAATTCTGTGGTTCTGTAATAAAGAGGTTTTTACCCCTTTTCCTCCCTGGAGGCCAGTCCTGTGTGAAGGCATCTCTGGGAAGTGAGCAGAGCACTGAAGCAGCCGAGCAGCAAGTGGGGCTGTGATTTAACCCTGTATCAGTGACTGCCTGCTGTAGCAGTCAAGGCTGTGCTTTGTGCTCTAGGGAGTCTGTGGTGAGCAGAACGCTGGGAGCTCTGCTTCTTGGCACTGAGGGCATTGGCAGTCTCTGGCTGAGATTGAATTTCCAGCAACAGGAATACAGGTTACAGTCTCTCTCCCACCAAAAATAGTGTGGCTCCTGTTTCCAAGCTGCAGTGGAATGTTAAGGAGATGCCTTGCTGTTGTGCCTGGTGCCAGGGATATATTTTGCTTGTCCTGTCATTGGGCTGGCCGGGCATCACTACCACGTGGTAGTTCTGCTGAGTTAGAGAGGTATGCCATCAGCTGTCCTTGTTAAAAAGAGGCCAACACTTTTGTTCACCTCTTTTATACTGAGGGGCCCAGGAAGGCTGATTCCTGCAGTTCATTTGACTTACTTTCTGCCCAAACTGTTGGGCCTTTTGGGAAAATCACCTAAATCAGGCAAGCCTCTTTGCACTGAATGCAAACATGAAGGATCGCTGGGGACTTGATGTGTTTCCAGTCAAATCTGAGTGGTTGTTTTGATTAATTGAAGGGAATGCAGTGCTGTTTTGAAGGGCTTTACTTGTTTATAGATAACAACCAGGAAAACGTTGGTCTCTTCAACTGTTACAGAAGTACTTTAACAACAACTGCAAGCAAAAGACATCACTTCAACAACTATAGAAAAAAATAATTAGCATTATTGGGTCTGAACTTCAATTGCATTTCCATCTTCAGTTCATCAGTAATTTTAAATTAATAAGTTTTGGGTGGGAATTTCAGCAGTGTTTTGTGACCTAATTTCTTGTTGAAGTTTTGTTTAGATTTTACTTCCATGACAGTGTCTGTGGATCTTGGAAAGATGCTCTTTTGTCTTAGTGACATCAGTGTCACATTAGTTGCATTAGTGACATTAAATAAGTTCGTTCAAATTTTATCAGGCCACCTTGTTGTGTTTACAGTTGCACTAATACCAGGGTGCCTAGTATATTTTTTGTTATGTAGCAGTGAGAAATTTAGGGTAGTTTAGATTAATGTTTCCAGAAAATAAGTGTGCTATACCACATCTACATTGCCTTCTTATAAATTTATCTGCAGTAATGAAAGTATAAGCAGATGGGAAGGGGAAGTGCAGATGCCACCTTGATTGCCATAGACATTTGGAGGTGGCATGTGCCCAAAGTCTGCAGGATTGAAAGGATCTCTACTTGGATTACTTTTGAATCTGGGAGGGAAGGTGTGACTCTGTGTGTATAAAATACGTGCTGAACTAAAAATAGGCAAGAAAATGGTCAGCAAATTTGAGCCTGTAACTTTCTCTGTAAGGCTTTCTAGCTCAGGGCATGTAGGAGGAGCCCAGTATGAGAACGTGCAATTATAGGTAATTGGTGGGGTTTTGTTGTATTTTTTTAAACTTTCTTTAAAGTAGCTGCCTGGTTTAAAGTCAGTAAATTAGACTGATGCAGTTTTTTTAAACCTGGTTTACTTATTTAAAAATACTGGGAGCAAGGCAAGGAGCCAGAAACATTCACACACACAGTGTGGCTGCAATTGGTGAATTTTTAAGCTCTGTTGCTGGACAGTATGACAGCCAAAGAACTTGGGTCAGGATGTCTAATTTTCTCAAATCATTCAAGGTTATCTTCAAAGAGCTTTTCTGGTGCCTGTGAAGTTAATGGAAGTTTTTCCATTAACCTTTGTGGCCTGTTTTTCAGGCAACATAACATGAATTATTCTTTTTCTGTAAATGATGGAAACAATATGTTTCATGAAACATTCACTTCTAGATAGCCAGTGTAGTGTTGAACAGTGCCTGAATTGCATGATTCTGTTTCAAGACTTTCATTTTACAGTCCAGAGAGCAAAGATACTTCATGCACTAAACCTTCAGTTGCTTCCCTAGTATACATATAACTTTAATCAGTTGGTATATTTGAGTCATTGGGGACTGGGGATGAACTCTTTGTAGTTAACTTTAATTTCATTTTCCTGGGTATTAGAAAACAGCTTGTTGGTTTGCAAGCTTTAGTAGTATGTTACTTTTTCCAAAAAGTGCCAGTCAGAATAGAAGATTTGAGGTTTAATTGATTTAACGTTTAGTATCTGTCATGCTAAATTGAGTGAACTGTTCCTGAAATGCCGCTTCTAAGTGGTGTGTCAGACATCACTGCATAATTGCTTGTTAGGCCTCGAGGTGTTTACACCAGTTTTAAGTGTCTTTGTTGGTAGAGCCCTGCTAGCTTGCTTTCTGAACAACATTTAAAATCTGTGGGTTTGTGTGTGTAAAAGTGTGCATGTCTTGATCTCTGGGGTAGACAACTTCCTTCATCTCACACAGTTAGTTGACCCTGAATTTTAAGCCAGGTAAAGATGCAGGTAAGACTTTTTAAAAAAAGAAAAGTGTACACTGGTATTTATTTTCTTTGCTTTCTGACTCTTGTAAGAATGTGCAGTTTTTGTTCAGGTTAGTGCACAGCTTCATGAATCACAATTCTGTGTTTAGTAATTTTCTTTTTAATCGCTATTTAATGGGCTGGAATTACTTCATGGAGATTTAACTATGCAGGAATCTGCACATACTTGTTTATTTTTATATATGCATGTAACGTATGTTTCACTTCAGGTTTTAAAAGAGGTGCAGATCCTGGAATGCCTGAGCCAACTATCTGGAGGTATGTATTGGTTCCAAACGTTCACACAAACCCAGTGCAAATAGTTAACTGGTTTGGGTGTTATCTCCAGCCAGCAACAGTTGTGATTGATGCTTCCATCCCTTGTTTTTAATTTTTGTGGTTCTTGTTTCTTTGGAAATTCAAATGACAAGTCAGCAGAGTTCTAGTTCTTGGGAAGACCTTTCTCTTAATCTTGCATAGTTTTTAAGATATGGAACTTCCTGTGTCTTTTGCATGACAGCTGCCCTTCTAATCTGTTGTAGAGCTAGTTTGTGCAAGTTTCTGCACAGAACAGAACAGATTTCTAGCATAAATGGAAACCAAAATCCAATCTCCTGCCTTTGCAAATGGGGAATAACACTGCATAAAAGGTGCATGAAATAAAGGGGGTTGTATCCTTCAGTATTAGTCACTGTCATTAAGCAAAGTGCATTTGGCTTGTGTTGCCTCTTTCTTGTGGGACTCTTTGTTATGCTGTGATGTTATGGCATTAGTAATGCTTAAGTTCTAGTGACGTTTAAGTGTTATTGAAGGGCTTCCTTGGGTCTAATTAAAGTTTTGGAGAAAGGGTGGTTCTTCTCTTTTTCAAGAAATGCCTTTGATTACTGTGCAGAACCAGGTATTCCTAAAGCAAATAATTGATGGACTCTATTGTTTGCAAAGTCATATATTAACTCTTCTTAATTTACATAGTTACAGTATATAGAAATCCCATTTTTAGGATTCAGTGATTCAGTAGAAAGAGTAGAAAATATGGGAAAAACAGTGGTAAGATCATATTACAATTTCAGTGGAATCTTCTGTTGTCTTAATAACCAAGTTGCTGCAGTTATTTGCTTGTTGGCAGCATTTCTATGTTTAG